GCCCCGTCCCCGCCCCGTCCCCGCCGCCCCGCCCAGGCGACGGCACTCTGGAGCGCGAGCGCCGCACCGCGCCGGCCTGGAGGGAATCTCAGCTTCTCCTCCCCTCCCGCCCGCAGGCAAAAGATGCAGGTGCAAGTTCAACCAGCAGCAGAGGTAAGAGGCCCCGCGGGCCCTCGCTCGCCTCCTCCCGCTCTAGAGGGGCACGTGGGGTGAGGCGGGAAGTCCACTGAACCCGCAGCCAGAAACCCTTCCGCGAACATGTATTAAGCACCTACTATGTGCCAAGCCACGCCCTGGGACCAAGCGATGAATAAACCCGCTGCCCTGCCTGGCCGAGCTCCCAGCCCAGTGGGGGCGGTGGCCGTGGGTTCCAAACAGCCCCACAGAGATAAAGTCACAAAGTGTGATAGCACAAAGTGCTGGGAAGGAAAGAGCCGCGGTGAAATGAGATCACCTCACACGGCGGCCCAGTTTAGCTCCGAGTCCTGTTGCTAGCTCTTTGATTCATCTTTAAATAAAAACTTAAAGCACAGGAAATGCAGGAATGCCTTCGTCATGTTAAAACAGCTATAGACGGTATTATAAGCAACAGCTATATTTATCGTGCGTGTGCCACGTGCCAGATAGTTTCATCGGCTATTATTTTATTTACCCCTCGCACCACCTCTGTGGGGTAGGTGCTGTTATTAACCCATTTTACAGATGAGGAAACAGAGGCACAGGGAGGTAAAGTCACTTTGCCCAAGATCGCTCAACTGGAAGATGGGGTTCAGACTGCCAGGCCACTCTGCCAAGTGCCTTTGACCAGCCCCCACCCACCAACTTTAAGTCCCTTCCCCAACATTCCCGGAGGTTCTCACTGTTAACCTGCTTTTTCGTGTCACACACTTTAAACTGCCCCTGGGTACCCCTCATTTCTGGCGGACCACGAGCCTGCACCTCGCCCATATCTGGGCCTCGGTACACCGGTTTGGAAATTGTGATCTGTTTGGGGGGTTCCCGGAAGGGCTGCCTCTCCCCTGCTCCATCCTGAATTCCCTCCGCCTCGTCCTTCCCAGGACTGGGGAACCTGACGAAGAGGAGGGAACTTTCCGCAGCTCCATCCGCCGTGAGTTTGGGGAGCCCGCGGGTGCTTGGAGGTGAAGGATGGTTCCCAAAGCCCCTTTCCTGGCCCTCCCTGGGCGCATAGAGGGGGGCGCTTGGTGTGAAGCCCGAGGCGGGGAGTGGCCCTTCCTCCCCAGAGGCTGGGGCTGCCCCTCCTGACAGCCGAACTCTGTGTCCCCCAGGTCTGTCCAGCCGCAGGCGATAGAAGCACCTGGCGCGATGGGCCGCGGCCAGGTCCTGCAGCTCCGACCCCGCGGGTGCGGGAGCGTGCAGGAGGGGCCGGGCGCCGGGAGCCAGGGCGGCGCGGAGCAGCGCTGGGGGCCGCGCACCCTTTCCACCGCACAGGAGTCCCCGGGCACCCGACGCCTCCCACTCCCCACCTGAGCGCCCACCGCCACCTCGACTGCCTCCTTCCCCAGCCCTGCCCCCACCGGCTCCCAATAAAACGCGCTTTTCTCCCTTGACAGCGCTTTGTTGATCTGTCGGTCCCTCTGCGCGAAAGCTCGGCGCCCCCTTGGCCCCGGCAGGGGGCGCCCTCGCCCTTGGGGAAGGGGCGGGGACGTCGACAGTGGGCGGGGGCGGGGGCGGCCTGGACGGGGGCG